ACCCTGCTCAAAACGGAATGGCCAAAAGTTATGGATTTCCTGCTGCGCTCGGATACATACACCAAGATATAGATACTCCTATTTCGTTACGCCTCCAGCCACTTCCACATCAACATTTTACGACGCATTCTCACCTACATCCCATACCTATCTGTCTTACCTTATTATCCTTATACCATACTGGACAGCTCTGAAAATAAAATGGTATGCACGTGGATGTCACATCATTAGATAACTGAAGAGGCAGCTTAGCTATTAAAGATTCTCAGTCACATGCGGAGTAAATATTGAACTTGTCTGTATACTATACTTACTGTTATTTATACCATATATGTTTGTCCTGTCTTTCTATTTCCATCTCAGATCTACCCCTGAGATGTTAGGAAAAAAAAAAATGACCTAATGAGGCAGGAGGGAAGCGGCTAATGACCTAGAAGTCGATGCCGCTGTAAAAAAAAAAAAAAATAAAATTAAATAAATATAATAAATAATAATATATAATAATTAATAATAATATAATAATAATTAAATAAATAATAATATAATAATTATATAATTATAATAATATAATAATTATAATATATATAATTATAATAATTATAATAATTATAATAATATAATAATTATAATAATTATAATAATTCCCCGCAGGGGGTATCTACTTTTGAAGCTGGATCTTTGATCCGATTTCAAGGGAAGATACATGGGGAGCGTCACCCCCACGGCCCCAGGCAGGGAGTTCGGGGTTTGGTAGTCTTATTCATTCTTCCAAACCCTGGGCTTTTCCTTCCCCCTTTCTCCCATCCTTCTCCTTTTATTATATCCTGTGCAGCTGTCCGCTGCCCTCCCGACTTTGCTTGTCCTTTCCTTACTCCATGCGTTGAGGCGGCGCGTGGGGCTTTCTCTTAGCCTCCCGGGTGTTTGTGCCGTGCCCGGCGACCCGTAAGCTGTCCAATGGAATCCTGGTGGTTGAGCCCTACCAGTCAGGGGGGCAACACGCCATTTAGGTCCGGCGGTCAGTCTAGAAGGGCGGCCGCGTCTAGCCCAGCGTCGGTCAATCGGCTGTGCCATCCCGTCAGAGGGCTGGCTGGGCGAGTCCCCACAGTTAGTAGAAGCCAGACAGGGGTAGCTTGATGCTCTCGACGTATGGTG